CATTTCCGGGGAACAACGTGCTTTGGCGGTACGGCTCCTGAAAGGCACCACGCAGCTCACAGGCATTGGGACACGGCAGTTGGGAACAGGCAGAGCAGTTTTGGGTGGAATACAGGCAAACATAAGGATGCGGGCGAGGGTGGTGAGCATCTGCCTTGGATTTGCAGGAAGAGTGACACACGGGAAGGAGCTCCAAGCCTCCACGGCTGAAGGAATTGGCAGGCTTTACAAAAGAGAGGAAAAGGAATTCCGACTGCCTTAAGTACCACGGAATTAGTAAACTGAGCAGGGACACACCAGGCATGTGTAAATATCTGGATGAAGCAAGTGGCATCAAGGGAGAAGGCTGGGGATACATTAATTATTTTAATGGGGTGAACTTACAGAAGGGCATGTCTAAGCTGAGAATCTGTGTGGAAAGCTTTTGAATGGAGAACCACAGGCTGGAAAAATCATCTCCCTAAGGGAAGTGGTGAAAGCTTTATTGCCTGAGATTTTAAATGACAGATTAGGAGAAATACCAAGGGACTCATTCTGAAACATCAGGGAGATTGCACTGAAAGATTAGGAAGGGAAGAGGAAAGGCTGGAGGTGGTGCTGGCTCCAGGAATTTTGGGAGTACAGCCCAGCACATCTTCTAGGCTCTTCTGGCTCCATGTTATCATTCTTTGACTGTCTGCCAAGAGTGCAATGATTTCAGTGTTAGTTACCCCACAAGGATGTGATAAGGACTCCCCCCCGCCAGGAAAAAACGTGGTTGAGCAAAGGGAATCTCACTGCTTCCCCAAGGACAATGGGAGGAAATCAACTCAGTCCTGGAGCACAACCTTGAGCCACACTCTCTCATCAAAGTAAAAGTTGGTTGTGAGAGCATTTTGGCTCATTAGGGCTCCCAGGCTGGCTTCCCTCAGCCAGCTCCTGGCAGGGGGACACTCCTCTGTCCCTGCTCCCTTCTCTTTCTCAGCCCCAGGCCAAAAGTTTCCCTCCAGCTCCAGACTGAAGAATGACTTTCCAAGAGCTCATCTCAGAGGCATCCATAGGCACATTACTAGGCATTCTCTGCAAAGCAAGCTTCACCTTCCAAGCCACATTTAAACAAGACTGAAACCATAAATGTGCTGCTGAAACCCAGCCAAGACATCCCCCTGCTGCTCTTGAGGTCACCCAGGCTCTCCTGCAGCCACGGCAGTGGCCAAACAGGGCCCATGGAAAAGGTATCCAGAACACCACGGTGTTCATCCACCCCCGAGGTACAGTCAGAGTCTCCTTGGGAAGGAAAAGAAATAAAACATTTCCTTGCTGCTAGGTTTTATCAGCCAACATAATCTAATTAACCGGCACAGCTGCTTCGTTAGCATTAGAGGCATATTTATCAAGGGGCTAGAGGAAGCATTTATTAGATTAGTTTGTAATTTTGGAATTGCTGGATATTTTTTTACTAGAGTTTACACAGTTCAGGACAGTGCAATGCTGAAGGACTTCAAGGCAGAGGGAAGCAGCTCCGTGTCCTCCCATGTAGGGGGTACCTGGCAAAGACAGAAGGAATCACAAGTCTTACTTTAAACACACTCTCATTGGTAAAAGCCTCTGCTTACTCACATGTGGTGTTCTGTAGGAGGAATATTTGTGAATTGGAGAAGCAGAAACACAGTCCAGTGCTGAAATTATTTAGAGAAGTGAGCATTTAACAAAACAAGAAATGTTTCTAAAGTTGATTGAAGTTACTAACAGCGACTGCCTGCTTGCAGGCAAAGTGAAGGATTTCCTGCAAGGTCACAGAGACCAGGATCACTATTGTTTCACTGCTGACACTGTACTTTAAAAATTTCAAAGAATAGCTTAGAAATACAAAACATTTCCCAGACCTCTAAGACCCATTCAGTTCTAAATGTAATTTGAAAGATCTTTTACACGCTTACCATTTTACACATAAACTTTTGCTTATAAGTACCCAAAACAGCATTGAGTATCAAGATATTTGGAATGTTTTACTGGAGGTGGTACCAAATGCAACCAACTTACTTTTAAAATAAATATTGAAACTTTTAATATTTTTAATTAAGGTCCCATCTTAATATTCTACATTTACCAAGGGATTTATATAAATGAAAGGAGATTTTTGAATACTTTCAGTCAAAGGAAGACTGGAAAGGAACCACAATGAAGGTTTGCAACAGATGGAGTATTTCTACAGCAATAGCCAAAAGAGATTCCAGCTACACCTTTTGATTCAATGCATTTTAAGTAAAAAGATACATATGTCGGCTTAGAAGCCTTAAATTTGCCTGATGGATTCTGAATTTCTCTAGCATTTTACTTTAATTATTCTGGATTTAGAATCTGAATGTTTTCTTTTAAATAGATTCACAATACTATGATAGTCTGCAGATGATTGTTTGGTTTTTTTTCCTAAAGGAGTTATTATTTTGCATATTGGCCTGATAAGAACATTATGCTAATTTGTGGTAAAATGTGTGAGTTTTTGCTTGAGACTGATCCCCATTTTCCACACCTAGTTCATAATTTTAATGACTCCTTTTTTGTGTGTGTTTTTGGTGTTTTTTTTTTTGTTTTGTTTGTTTGTTTGTTTGTTTGTTTTCTTTTGGTTTGGTTTTTTGTGTTTTTTTTTTTTCTTTTCTTTTTTTTGGTTAGTTTTTTGTTGTTGTTGTTGTTGTTTTTTGGTGGAATTCCTCATGCTTTCCAGGAGGAGGAATTGAGCACACAGCAATAAAACACAAACACCTCTTGCACATGGCTGGGAAAATGGAATGTCTGCAGCTCAGCCTGGCCCTGCACCTGCTCTCATCTTGCAGGTGCTAACACAGGCGTCTCCAAAACTCAGTCTGGGAGCTCAGAGTGGAGCAGCTGACGTGCCCTGCAGGGACAGGGCAGCAGTGGAGGCCTCCCCAGCCTCTCGTCCCCTCTCAGTTGGGTGATTGTTCCACAACAGCCGAGGTCCAGCTGGCAGCCAGCCGCTGGGAATCCTGTGGAAACACTCAACAGCTGCCAGGGCAGAGAGGGAAGCCCAGACTCAGAGGTTTTCTCAGCCAACCTGGTGTGCTCCTGTCTCAGCAGGACTTCAGCGAACTCTTCCTCCTCCAGCATCCCATCCCCATGTGGGAAAAGCTGGTCTGTCCCAAAACACTAGAAGGAAAGGGTTCCCTCAAGGCACTCTGCCCAAGCAAAACCAAAGAGCTGAAAACCTTCCCAAAGGGCTGCACAAATCTCGTTTATTTGACTTTTCCCGATTTCCAACCAAGAGCTGAGCAGCCAGACCTGACAGCTGCCTGCTGATTTACGCGGCGTGCGCCGGGGACGGCTCAGCTGTGACACACGGCTCAGATGCAGCTGCTGGGGACTTTTTCCTTTTCCTCCTTGAGTTTCCAGTGCTAGGAAGCAACACGTGGCTGTGTTTGGGCAGCTCTCCAGACAGTCTGGCCCTGCTGCTCTCTGGATTCGGCTCTTCACGTGCTGTGAAACAGCAGCAGCCGGGGAGAGGTGCAGCTGCTCCGTGGGCGTGGGGAGGGGAGAACAGCCCCAGGTTTCATAACTGGTGCAGCACTTCATTATGAGGTGGAGCTATGGACCTGCCACAGTCCCCAGGAAATCCTCCCAAGCCTGGAGTCATGGTTACACGTGTGAGATAAAAAGTCTTCTCCTAATCTTAGCCAAGTTTTGAGGCTCTCATTAAAAAGCAGAGCTGGCAGCACCCTCAAGCCCTCATCTGTCCCATCTTTGTATTTCAAAGAGTGATCAAAACTCCCTCACATTTTAAACACTTGAGCAAGTAATTTCTAATTTGCTTTTAAGAGCTTCCAGTGATTAAGATTCCTTAATTGCAAGGCTATGACCTCCAGTGCCTTACACTGGCTTTCTTGCTAGATCATTCTTTGATGTCTACCCAGCCATGTTGTGATGTCTGCCAAGACTACAATTTCTTTCCCCTACCATAACAGGAAATTCAGATTATATTCTTGTTCTTTCCAGGTTCAAACACCATTCCCATGGCTTTTGTGTGGGTTTTATTTGTAAGCAGTAGCTGTACCTGTAATCATCCCTGCATCTGTAATCATCCCTGCACTATGCTGCCTGCTCCAAATGTCACATCACTTACCCCTGAGGTAATTTCTCTTGAGCCAGTTTAGCCCATGAATTTTCCACTCGCTTTTGCCCTCATTTCCTATCCCAGGAAGAGTGAAGATAAAAAGCCCCAAAACTAAGGCAACTCACCCTTTCCTCACAGCTTGATTTAAACACCTGGAACTAAACAGCAACTCCTTCTGCTGTATGAAAGAGGCTGGAGATTTCCCATGGGCAGTGGCTCTTTGGGCATCCCTCCGTTCTTCCCCATCACAGCAAAAAAAAGGAGAGGACAGAGGTCACACTTGTGGTGTTTTATTGACACCAGTGTAATTTTGAATCTCTCTTCCTGCAGATCAGTGGAAAATCAACTTTTGCAGTGAAACAACAGCTCTCATGGCCTTGCATAATCTCTTGCAACTCCAATTGCAAACAGATTCTCACTGAGACCACCACTATTTGCCTGGATGCTTGACACAACAGGCCCATGCTCAATGTCCTCATGTGCTACCACTCTTTCTAGATTTTGCTTTTTCCCTGTACACAGGAGATTTTCTGATTTTTGGCTTTGGCATGAAATGGTTTCTAAAAGCTGGCATATGCAAAGCACTTCTGAAAGTGTGGAAGGCTGGTGTGGTGGTGGCATGGAAATAACAGGGTTCAAGGAACCCTCACGGAAGATGACATTTGAGGTAGAATTTTAAGGGCAATCTGATTTCAAAATCATCACGTCCCACAGGGGTTCTGCAAAAATACTGTTTTCAGATCTAGAAAGGTCTTACTGTGTGGGGTTTTTTTTGTTTTGTTTGAAACTATGCCTGCCTGCACTATAGCCTGCCTGCCTGCACTGCATCCATAGAGCTGCTTTATAGGTGTGCATCACAGAGGGAAAAATAACTCATAAAGACAACAGCAAGTTTGGATGTTATTTAATGAAAAACAGGTGAAGTTTACAAACACAAGGCCAACAGAGAGAAGAGCACAGCAGGAAGCTGCTAAGGTACAGGTAAGAATTCTGAAGTGCATTGCTAGTGCAAGTAAGTAGGCAACAGAAGGAAAATCATGTTCCATGTAGGCCCCTTCAGGTGAGCTGGGGTTTGCTGGGCTATATCAGCTCGAAAGGCAGAGCCTCGATCTCCCTTGTGAGCTCTTCATCCAAGGCTTTCTACCGGGAAAGAAAACCAGGAGGAATCAGGGACCACGAGACAGCTTCCACAGACTGCTGGCAAACAAACACACCTGCAATGATCAAACCCTGGGAGGTTGTCAGCAGTGATGGATGAACCCTGGTGTTGAGCTGGAGGGACTCGTCACTGCAAAGGGCCATAGGGAAACCTCCAAACAGAGGGCGGGACAAGCTCAGCTGTCTTTACTCTGTGCCCCAATGTGATTTTGGACACGTCCCAGCTCACTGGTCCTCCCCAGAGGCAAGCATTCTGACCTCAGAACAGCCTCAGGCTGGTAAGGGGAGCTTGTACCCCTGAATCAAAAACAAGTGGTGTACGAACCCAGGCAGTCTCACCTGAAAATGTAAAAAATGCTCTTACCTAGATGTGATTTTTGATCACAGGTTTAAGGCTTACCACTCGTGCTTTACGAGCAAGCTGGCAGTAGCTCAAAGGAACAAAAACATGTTTTATGGCGCTCAAACGTAGCTCAGCTCAGTCAGGAAAGCTACATATGAACTTCCCAAACAGCTTTATGGTGTTTGGCTCAACAGCCACACCTGCAGATTACACAAGCATGGAGGAAATGGGCACTCTGTTTTACAGGGGAAGGTCCCCATTGCAGTCTACAAAGCTGATGTTGACTAAAATAAGCCTGGAGCTCTCTGAGAGTTCAGGAGGAGCAAGGAAGCTTCTGAGACCTAACTGAGTGAATAAACATTCCAATAGGCAAAATTAATGGGGATATAGCTACCTAATCTGCACTGATATCACTGTGCCCAACTGCCTTTGCAGCTCAGACATCACTCCACCAGCTCCCCTGATCAGCATCTACAACTTCTGCCTCACCAAATCTCCCTATGAGAACATTAAGACTACAGTCTAAGGTGGGTAGATCTGTAATCAATTAATACATGTAGCTCCTGGAAAGATAAAAAAACCCTTACAAGTTCTCTTCTCGCTTCTTCAACCTTCACTCGCGCCAGACGAATGCTCTAATGGGAGAAAATGGAACAAAAATCAGCATTTCATCAAGAAACAAGAGTCCCTTCACCTTTGAAACTAATGATGAACCTCAGGTGAATTAATGGACAATTAATTAAGTTTTGTGTACTGCACTTCACATGCAGAAGGTATTGCCATTAAAAGTCTAGCATTAGTTTGGATTGGTCAATCATGTATTTTTCAGAAGTCTGGTATGGCCTAAAGTCTAAAAAAACCCCTTCATCTTAAACAATTTTCCAAACCTAATAATCAAGGGACTTGATTTCAACAATATTTGTGCAAGAATTTTCCAAAGCACAGTAAGTTTGCAAGGATAAACCTCCCTCCCCTCCTCCTGCCTGCACCAGGGGCTCTCCCTTGTCTCCACTGACAGCAAAGCTGGAGGAGGGAACTGGAGAACCTAATCCCATTTGAATGTCCTGTTCCACTTCAAGGAAGGAAGAAGCTGCCTCTTGGAGGAAGATGGATTAGACCTAGCAGTAATCCACCTTTCTAGCCACAGCTTTTGTTTTTTTGGTTTTTTTTCCCCTCTAGGAGTAAGACATCAGTGCTCGTATGATGGAGAAGAGACACTTGCATTTTCATAGAGCTGAGTACCCAGCAGTCCCAAGAGAAATCAAAGAAAATGACAGAGCAGCCAGTTTAGGGGACAAAACCTACATTTGGCTATTTCTTCGGGATCCTTAAAATCCTGTTCAGAGCTCCAAACTCTGCAACACGTGCTGTGTCCACCATATTGACAGCCTGACAACAGTTACAGCTAAAATACTGGTAAATCTCAAAAAGCTGGTTATATTAGGGGATTCCTTTTCTTCAATATTTCTTTGTCCAATTCCTAGCTAATTCACCTGAATACTAATTTACCCAGAAAATCTGTCTACTCTGTTAGAATAAAGTTTGGCTGACAAGGAAACTTAATTTCTTAGCTTTGATTAATAAACAGAGATCAAGTCTTTGGTTTGCATCATTAACAGATCTGTAGGACGTCTACCTGTCCACCAAAGGCATCACAACATTACTGTGTTATCCCTTACGTTCTGAAGTCCACTAAAGTTAACCTGATGGCAAATACAACATAACAGTGGAATAAATAATTACAGGAGGTAAATCAAGATAGGACGCCACTTCTCTCTTCAACGGCTCTATTTCTTTACGCAGTGCAGCCACTTTCTGCAGAGAGAGAAAGGCAGATCATATTCTAGAGAATTATTTGTAGAATTGATGGAAACGAGTGAGACAGATCCACAGTTACCTACATTTCAGAATTTGAGAGGCTTCACCCTTTATAAAACACATGGAAAACCAAAGTTTTGCGCACGCAGCAGCAAAAAGACTCTCCCTTATCCTTCTAAAGGCAAAGTAACTTTTTTTTGGGGCTGCAAACGGAGTACCTTCCACAGAGCTGAACACTTTTGAAATAATCAAATTGAAATAAAAAAGGTAGTTATTTGTGCTGCCTGTTTTACTGATGTCTTGGCAAAGCAGTTCTATAAATGTCAAGGAGTCAAACCGTACCTTAAGCTTGGGCTCTAGAAGATGACAAGCCAAGAGAATTTGCCTGTGGCTTTTTGGGTGCAAAATTCCAACAAAAATTAGCTCTGGTCAGTACCCTGGTTTAACACTGGGCAATGTGAGCACTGCCACCCAGTGCTGGCAGGTGAAAAGCACAACAGAGAAACCAGGAAACCTATTTTCACTGCTCCACTCGAAAACATAAAAGAAAAGATAGCAAAAATAATAAGGAGAAAGACTGAGTTCCCACTACAATAACAGCAAAAAATATGAAGATATGTTGAGTGCACAGGACAAAGCTATAAAACCTGTAGTTGCTAACTCAAGAAATGTGCTTTTTCTTTAAGATGTTCCACTAGGCTTACAATAAAGCTGAAAAATGTTATGTTTAAAGACACAACAACAAAAAAAAATATAGACCACAGTGATTCTGAGTTTGGGTTTCATTTTACCTTATCCCCATTTTTTTTAAGTGTTTGGAAGATATTTACTTCACACAAAGCAGCAAGAATCACATTGGTCATTCTGTCAAGAAACTGCAATACACAGGTAGCCATGTAATGGGATAGATATATCCCACAGAATATCCACTCTGTTTATAACATGGACCAGAAATAAGGGAGGCAGATCTGTTTTCAGTGGCAGGGAATTTATTCTGTCGAAATTCTCCAGCAGACGCCTCTAGGAGAGACAAGCCCAGCCAAAAGAGCCCAGTTCACAGGACACAACCTACAGGACCTTTATTTGTGCTTCCTTTGGCCATTAAGATTTGTTCAGGCAACCAAAGAGCAAACTACAATTCCTGAAAGCACCCAACAAGCAAGCCTGGCCTGTCCCACTGTAGCAACATCCCTCTTGTATGCAAAAACTTACCTCAGATGATTTCATGAGTGCCTCATGTGTCAGGGATTTGTTCAACCCCCTGGCAATAAGCTCACCCTGCAAACAGGAGAGAGCACAAAATGTAACAAGAAGGAGAAAGATTTCGCCATTTCCTTCTGTTTATATCTGAACAGGCAGAGAAGAACACAGGTTGTCCACAGCAGAAATGTGTGCTATTTGGAGCCACAGCTATAGCTGGTGTACAAAACGCTGCTAAAATTTGTAGTAAGAATAGTAAGTCTTTCCAGAAAAGCAGTGGGAGAAGGGCACATGGCAAAGCTAAAGAAAGGCTGCTCAGGAAAATGTCAATTGCAATACAACATTTTCCATCTCGTGTTTGTCAAGGAATCAGGTATGGCTTTACTTTAGCCATAAAGTAACCTGTCAAGAGTTTTTCAGGGAACAAGGAGGCAGCACTGTGCTGTACTGATCACAGGATGCACTGAGGAGACATAAACAGGGACAACTGAACTATATTCACATGTTGTCCTGTCAGCTCAAGAGTCCCCAGTACTGGAGTTTAGGAAGCTTATGGAATGTCTCTGTAGCTACAAATTTGGGCTCAACCAAACACTGCTGTGTCATCCCATTACAGTGTCATATGAGAAAATTCCTTCAACCTACCTCAGCACCCCTGATCCTTATCCTCAGATCCTTAGATTTATCTTGCAGGAACTTCAAGGTCTTGGAGTGAATCTCATCTTTGGCCTGTTCTGCTTTCTGAGATGTCTTCAGTTTTTCAACATCCCTTAAAAAATAACACAAAAAGAAAAAACTGTTACATTCAAACATGCATCAGTATACAAATACTTTTACTTATCTATGCTCAAGCTAAACCTTGCAATACAACACAAGAAGGAAGAAAATTGAGGAAGCCCCCTACTTCCCTTGAGATTTTCCAATGAAAACATATACAGCTGTTACCTCCAGAACCCCACAGACCAGAGAAAATAGAGGCAAAGAAGAAAGCCATATACCTAAAAGCAAAGGATAATAGTCTTGTGCATAATTCCCTAACTCACTCAGAGACCTGTTACATGAGCTAAACCTCAGATCAAGAGGAGGCAAACCTGCAGAAAGCGCATGGGAATCTCTTTTACAGGCCCAATTACCACTTTAAAAGACAAAAAAGAAAACCCCACTCCACAAGTAATTAGACTGGAAGGGAGCTGTGGAGAGCATCTGGGCCAACCCCTACTCAAGGCTGGGGTTGATCACGCTGTGCTTGGCAAAGCACTTCAGATTACATCCTCCAGGGAAAGGACTTGACACCGATTTTTTTTAGAGTTATTACGATTATTACGTCCTCTACACACTGGTTAAGGGAGCGTCTTACCTGAGAATGGTTTCTGTTTTCCCTCCCTTAGTCTGACTACAGAGGCCATGCTAAATGTGCTAAGAAAATCAGATTTGTCTTCAGCCTCAGACAAAAGCAACTGGAAGAAGATGGAAACTTGTACCTAAAAACAGCTTGATCTCTTTTGCTTTAAAATAATTGGTTTGATGCTTTCCCAGATCTCTTTGGACTACTGAAAGTATCCATAACACACAGGTTTTGATAGATACTTCCAAATACTTTGAATTGGAGATGTGCCAAACCCCTAAAAATTCAGTTATCCTTGTTAGCTACCACAACCAACATTGCCCAAGACAGAAATCACCAGTATTACTTTAATCTTTCCCTCTTCCTCATCCATTACTCACTTCTCTAAATGCTTTTCCACCATCAGTGCTGAAGTTAGTTTTTTCGTGAGGATCTTTAATTTCCATTCCATTTCATCGTTTTTTGATTTTGTTTTATACAGTTCCGAGGTCATGTCATTTAAGGCACTGTAGAAGCTGGTGAAGAGAGAATCAGTGGGAATGCTTAGGAGTCAGCTTTTCTGAAAGTCAAAAGTTGTTGTTATTCTTTTTTCCACACTTCAAACAAATGACTTAGTTTCCTCTTAATGTTATGGCAGGAGTAAATTTAAATAAGACGCTAAGGGAATGTGCCTTCTATAACTAACACAGATTTCTACATGGAAGGGAAAACAACCCTGAGTAAGTGAACAACAACTGGCACTCTGGTGAATAAAACCACCACGTGCTCCACTCCTGGCTTGCCTCACTGCCTTTGAGAGAAACTGTATTCAGACCTTAAAATGCATGGTCACAAGATGTGCCCAGCAGTATCTGAGTATCTTCCTCTTCCCAAGTGGCCCAAAGCTCCTCCCCCTCCAGCCCAGGAAGAGAGATGCAAGAGCCAAGATCCTAAATATCACATAAAAATTGCATTCCAAGGCAGACTGCGCCCCTTCTTTGCTGCAAGTGCTGCAGTGCCACAGGCCAAAGCTGTGCTAAAGAGAGCAGCCCAAGGAGACCAGACTAACAGATGCCATTTCTCCATGGCAGAGGGAATCTCCTTATCATAGAAACAGGGTGCCCCCCACGTTGCTAATAATAGGCATCTGACTCCATTGATTCAGAAGGCTGAACAATTGCTTTATTAAAACTATATTATATTACATTTTACTACACTATATTAAAGACATACTATACTAAAGAAAAACTCGTGGCTGTCTGAGACAGCCAGGACACAGCTTTGACCCAACTGGCCAAGGAATCAAAACAGCAGAATACAACTGAAAAATCACTTCAGATAAACACTCTTCCTAACACATTCCACTTGTGCAAAAACAACAGGAGGAGAGAAGAGAGATAAGAATTGTTTTCTCTTCTTCTCTCCGTGCTTCTCCAGGAAAAAACCTGTGAGAGAGAATTATGTCTCTCTGTTTAGAGAATGTGAATTCCACATCTCCTTGCATGAACTGAGGCCAGATGAGACAGACAAGGATGAGGAGCTGAGGCTGGAAGACCAGTCACAGTTCCCCAGTCTTTGCCTAAGCCGTGTGAACACTGCTGTAGCCTGGGATACCTGGCACAACAGTCCAACTGGCAGAAGCTTGCAGCCACTGACTGCAAAAGCATGAGAAAAAGGAGAGACTTAACTCCATCCCAGGCCCTTCTCAGGCTTCAGAGCCTTCTTGTGCTGGGATAACCTAGAGCTAGCATTTTGTGCTCAGTTCCCATGCACTCCAAAGCTGACCAAGGGGTGAAAAATAAGCCTGACAAACAAGATTCCTAGTGCCAAGTTTGAAGCTGCTGATGTGAAAAAACAGAGGAAAGCAGCATAGACCCTCACCACGAATGAAGAGTGTGAAGAAATACCTGGTAAGAGATGTGTTCTCCACTTCGAGTTCTATTGCACTTCCTACCAGGTCAAAGAGGTCGTTGGTGGCCTCTTCGGACAGACTGCTTTCAAAAAAACCCAGGGTTTGTCGAAGAATATTGTGCCAGTAGTCAGCTGGAAAATATATACAACCCAAAGAAGTGATTTTTTTTTTTAATATTACTGCTCTTTTGTTGAGCTCTTTAAAGTTAGAACCCAATCCCACAGTGGGAACTTGGCTACCTGCCTGTGGTTGGGGGAAAAAAGACGCTTTTAAAAAAGGCTTAAACATGCCAAACCTGCTGCCACATCTCCATTTGTCGAACAAATTCAGTGCATAAAGGGAGAAAGCACTGCTCCACTCCCTCCCTGACATCAGACAAACAAGAGCTCACCCTCATGCTACAGCAATGAGCACATGCAGGTCACCTCCCCACAAAGCTCAGCCTGAGCCTTGCTCATGGCAGACTCAGGAAGTCTATCTCTATCATTTTTTGTTTGGCAAGGCACTTGAAGGAACAAAAACCAAACATGTTTTCTTACAAAAACATCTTCATGTGTACTATGCCAGCCGTTGCACAGAAAAGTGAAATTCCTTCATGTGAAAAGCCTGTGAAGTGACAGTCTTTTATCATGTGTGTTGAAAACATACTATGGTCTCCTAAACCACTCACTTGCTCAAAAAAACTCTAACAAATTAAAAAATAGTCACTCTAGGCAGCTTCAGCACAACTTAATCATCTCAAAGTTGTTTCAGGCTCCTCCAGGGCTTTCCTTAACAGCAGGTTAGCACCATCTCAGACTCTTGAATAGCTGCAGGGATACTTCCCTCTCTATCCAGGCAATATTTCCATGCTGTGCTATCCAGCCCAGCAGACTAGGAGGTTTTAGCAATTAACCTGTTCGTCCACATTTATGGCCTGCTCAAGATGGCTTAAAAAATTGTCCTTGAACAATCTTATGTCACTGTAAATTGTAGTAAAAACTGCATCAAAAAAAAGCTGAGTCTATTTCAATTACATATATTTATATATATTCCAAAGTTTTCAACAAATACAATCTTCAAGATCACTCAGAACAGCCTGACTCAGGTGGAACTGAGAAACGGAGCTTCAAACTCACCTTCTGCTTCATACTTGCTTGCCCTATCCTTCATGTCCTCTATCAGCAACATAACATCCTTTTCCCTCACTTCATTGCACTTCATAACTTCATGCAAAATATCCACTGTCCTTTCATTCACCTCATATACTGGAATAGGCACACCGTTATATAATTTCTTTAGCCACAAAGCAACCTGCCAGAGAAGGGAAACAAAAGAGCAAGCAATCATGTGAAATGACAGAAAATAGCTGATAGACAGGAAGAATGTAAACCACTGCAAACTCTGCATTCCTGAAGAGCAACTCCTACATCAGTCCAGGAGGCGTGGGTGGAAAAAGGGGAGAAAAATTCCTTTCCCTCTTCTTTAAACACCTTCTGTGGTCTAGAAGACTATATTATATCCTTTTTTATCTCACTCATATCTTTGGACACCTGCATGTAATGACCTCCAGGTGATAAAATTTTACATTTTTCACGTGACCTGTTGGCTACAGACACAGTAACGACCCAAGAGATGTTAAATGGGTGTTTGACAAAATGGTGAACACTGTGTTAAAACGTGGGATAAAAGTGCCCAAGCCATCACTGGGAACAGTCTCTCTGCAGGAGAGCGGGAAAGAGTCCCCACAATGTGCCTGCACAAGCCCTGCAAAACAGTCGTACCATTGGTAACAAGGTCAGAAATAAGAGATCAAAACAGTGCTCTCACGTAGGGCTGTGATCGTGGAATCATAGAATCATTTGAGCTGGAAAAGCCCTCCAGGATCATCACTTTCTTTCCTGAGGCTCCCAGCTCCTCAGGAGGGGAAAAATCCTAGGAAAGGATTTTTAATAAAATATCATAGCTACAAGTGTGTAGGGTCCTGGGGTGCCTGCACATAAGGTCTTGGTGGGGGCACCTTTTATAGATGACTTTCCCTGCCCTGGAGGTTACTTTCCTACTTGCTATGCAATTTTATCAGCTGCAGTTCATTCTTCTAGACCTTTCTGAAAATTAGTTGGAGGGCTTCAAGTGTCTCTGGTGGTCTTGATTCCCTGTACAGTCCTAGACTGCTTCTTGGCTTCATTGCTGTGCTGTGTTTTTCTCCAGGAACTAGAATAAGTGGGATGTTTGTCCCAGAAAAATGCTGCCCTGTCTCTGAATGGCCCTTTCTCCAGCCACATCCTGTTCTTCCTCACAGCTGTGTTTTTACCAGCAAACCTCGATTCTTGTTACCAACAGTCCGTGGTTGGCTCTATAGTACCCAGCTATTGGTGTTTGAGGCACGCAACCTCTTATCTTCTGGGCTTCTATACTCAGGGCAACCAGATTTAATCCATGAAACAGCAGCTGACAAGCAAGCTCTGAGAAATGTCCATGTGTTAGAGAAAACAAATTACTAGTTGGTGGAATTGCCTTGTCAAGCTTGATATGCTTCAATGATCTCAGACCTAGGGGGAGGTTAACAAAGCTTGGGAAGGAAGGATGTGCCACTGATGGTGGGCACAGAGAATGCAGAGTTTACAGTCCACAAGGATATCTGCTTGAAGTCCCAATAATAAAGTAAACCCAGTGAAATCAGCTCTGACTGGGTAAACAGTAATTCTGGTGGGGCAATCTGCGACAACTGACCCAAGAAACCCACCGACCCAAAAGAAGAGAAAGACTGGGCATGAGAAACAGTAGAATCATTAACCAATACTAATTAATAACACAACTATGTAACACATAGCCAGTGAACACTAGTTCCTTTGTATGCTAAAATCTGTAAATTGTGAAGCATTTTGATTGTTCTGGAATGCCACTGAGCACCCAGTCTTGCACAACCCTGCAATAAATAATCAATGTCTCTCTCATGTGTCTAATTATTGGCCCATTGCACAACAGGGAAGGAATCAAATTTTTGCAGACAACATTGTCACTGCCCCATCCCTTTTCCTACACGTGATACTGAGCCCCACCAGATTTGCACCCCTCAAGATTTAATCAGTAGCTGTAGCAGGACAGCTATGATTAAGCAGCTGCATATTGTGAGCATTGCGTGCTTGGCTTTTTTAAAGAATTCAAGATGATTCCAAGAGGAATGGCTGTTTGGATGAGAGCCATGAGGATTGAAGTCAGCCGGACTGAGGAGTCAGTACCTGGGAGAAGAGTAATTCTGGCAGTGGGAGATTGTGGCCAGCATTTCATTTACCACCAAATGAAAAGAGTTCCATTTCTCTAACATGAAAAGCAAGATTTAACTAGCAAAGAAAGGTCTGTGTGGTAATTAATTGAAGTGGTAGCTAACAGAATGGTACTAACTAACAGAGAAGTTACATAACTTGTAAGCAATGAATGCTGACACCTTTTGATGTTGAAGTGTAGAAACAGAGTAACGTTTTGATGATGGAGAACCTAGACACCCAACTACCTGCTTTGTGCTAACTAGGAAAAGAGACAGAAATACCTCGCCTCGGTGTGTGAAATGGTGCTGCACACCGGGGAACGAGCCCGCGGGGTAACGCTTCTGTCCCTGTCTGCGTCTCTGCCCCTGTCCTTATCCCCGTTCTCTTCCGTGCCCTTGTCCCTGTCCCTTTCCGTGCTCCTGCCCTTGTTACTACCCACGTCCCCGGCCCTTGTCCCTGTCTCAGTTCCTGTGCCTATTCCTTCCCGTGTCCCTGCCCTTGTCCCTATTCCTGCCCGTGTCCCTATTCCTGCCCGTGTCCCTACCCTTGTCCCTATTCCTTCCCGTGTCCCTGCCCTTGTCCATATTCCTTCCCGTGTCCCTGCCCTTGTCCCTATTCCTGCCCGTGTCCCTATTCCTGCCCGTGTCCCTGCCCTTGTCCGTATTCCTGCCCGCGTCCCATCTCCGGTCGTCCCTCACTCCCCGCCCCTTCCGCCCGCTCAGGGCCAGTTCAAGGACACCTCCCGCAGCGGGCTTTTTTCTTAAAGGCTCATTTAATTTTTTTTTTTTAATTACATGTATTATTTTTATTACATATGCTAGATATTCGTGTGCAGACAGACAGACAGACACACACACACATATCCAAATCGGGGGCACGGGAAGCAGTTCCCTCGCGCTCCCCGCCCCCTGGGCGCGGCCTCGGCGCCAAAAGGGGCGTGAGGCGCCGCCGCCATTTTGTGTGCAGAGCGCGCGGCCGGCTGTCTTCAGCGTCCGCCAGCCTCAGCCTCCCCCGGGACCCGCCGCCGCCGCGATGCTCTCCGCCCGCGTGGCCGCCGCCCTCGCCCGCTCCCTGCCGCGGCAGGCCGGCCTGGTGAGCGCCATGCCCGCCCCGGAGTCGGCGGGGCCGGGGGGACGCGGCGCCGCCGCCATCTTGGGGGCCGCGGTGACATTGAGGGGGTGAGGGGGTGACATCGGAGTGTGGGGAGGGAAGCACGGGGTGTACTGTCAGCGCTGTGGGACAGACCCCGCTGAGGAACGGGGTGTCCTTGCCCGGGCTCGGCGTAGTTGTTTAAAGCTGCCAGGGCAAGGTCAAGGTTGTGGGTGTGAGGGGGAGGGGGGGTTTATCCCCTGTTTGTGAGGAGACGGAGGGTGAGAAGAACCGTGGGGAAACACTCCTGCCAGTGCTTCCATATGAACGCGGGAGAGGCCTGCTTGGGGTGCACGATATTAAATGGCATCACCGTTGCTGCATGGTGCTACAGTGTGTTTTGCACCTTGCTTAAAGTGCAGAAGCGTGATCTTATAATGCATTCATTATCACGTTATATTATTTTTGTTCCGTAGTGTCCAAAGCTGGCCATGAGAAGAATATCTTTACAGGAAGGGTGATATGACATTGCAAGGGGCTGCCCGGGGGGGTGGTGGAGTTACCACGCTTAGAGGTGTTTAAGGATATAATGCACTTAGTGCCGTGTTCTAGTTGGCAAGGTGGTGTTTGGTCATAGGTTGGATTCAGTGACCTCAGAGCTCTTTTCCAAAGTAATTGTGATTCTGAGGTATTTTTGTTATAGTGCTTTGTGGGGTTTTTTTTCTTATGTGTTTTAACAATACCAAATTCACTGCAGTTAGATTTGTGCTAGAAGACACAACCTTCTCTCTGTGCAGAGCTCTAAATGGTGCAGTGATTTCTTTGTGCCCCAAGGTTCTCATGTTCGGCACAGAAATTACAAATGGTTTCTCTCTGGGAGCTGCTGCAGCGATTGACGGTGACATCAGCGCACTGCAGAAAAATGCAGCAAGGGATTTGGAGCAATCTCCTTCATTATTTGTCCTTTCTTAGTTGTCCTGGACTTGGTTCCATAGCTGTGCATGTGGTGCTGTGGAGCTTAGCTCAAAGCTGAGATGGACGTAAGCAGGTCAAGATCAAAGATGTGTTGATCGCTCAGTCTTGGTTTTTTGGGCGTTTTTTTTTGCATTATTAAATAAATTTTACTAAAACAATGATTTATTTTAGGTTTCCAGAAACACCCTTGCTGGTAACGACAGACTGATCAAGGAGGGGGATGTTGTGAAGCGGACTGGTGCCATTGTGGATGTTCCAGTGGGGGAGGAGCTGCTGGGTCGTGTTGTGGATGCCCTGGGCAATCCAATTGATGGGAAGGTAAGTCTTGCTGGGTGCTAAGTACCTCTGCTTGTGTCTGTGTGACACAGACCTCAGCAGTTTTTTCTCTCTTTTAGGGTGCTATTGCATCTAAGACACGTAGGAGAGTTGGCTTGAAGGCCCCTGGGATCATTCCCAGGATCTCTGTGCGTGAGCCCATGCAGACTGGGATTAAGGCTGTGGACAGCTTGGTGCCCATTGGTCGTGGCCAGCGTGAGCTGATCATTGGTGACAGGCAGACTGGGTAAGTTAAATACTCAAGCCTAAAATGTTTCTTAAACAGAGATTCAGGTACAGCCAGGCTGGACACAGGGTTGGGTAAGGGCTGGGAGAACTATGGGCAGCTTAACTTACCAGCCTCTGTGTTACACAGGAAAACTTCAATTGCAATTGACACAATAATCAACCAGAAACGATTCAACGATGGCACAGATGAGAAGAAGAAGCTGTACTGTATCTATGTTGCAATTGGCCAGAAGAGATCCACTGTTGCTCAGCTGGTAAAGAGGCTCACTGATGCAGGTATGGATTCTGGGAGACGATTGAGCCTGGCACCTATTGACATCCTGTTCTCATTGTAATGCTGTGTAGGCAGAATTGTCTCCTGACTGCAAGCGTAGACAGAATTCCTATTACAGGAGTGAATTACTTAATTTTATGAAGAAGAAATCTATACCTGTCCGGGGGGAAAACCCTCATTTTTGCTGTATCACAATTAGGAGGACTATTTTGAGGCCCCCAAACTGCTGACTTGCTTCTGGAAAAGTCACCCTGTGGTTTTAGGTTTTTTTTTCAGCAGAGTTGAAAGCTTCATCTTGGCACTCAGGCAGGCCTGGTGACAAGCTGTGGCCTTCAAGTTGTCATTGACTTGGCATTTGTCCCATGTGTTCCATGTGCCAGTCAGTGTGAATGGCATCTGGAAATGTGAAGAGCTTTAACTGCCCAAACACAAGGCATTAAATAATAGCATCTTGTCAGAGTCAGTGATTTCTGTGACCAAAGCTCCACATCAGAACTTGCAGGACTTCAGGCACTTTGACCTCATGCCTGACCTGGCAGCTGTCATGGAAGAACCCACGTATTAAGGACAGTAATTTGTTTAAGATTGTCGCAGAGGGTTGTTCTGTCTTAGAGCAGCCAGGAAACCATGGGCTTTCAGTGTGAGTTTTTTTAGAAGAACAACTTGTCTTCATCTTAAGCTTTGTTTTAAATGGGAAAGAAGTTAGTAAATGTTAGATGTTAGCTGCTGCAAAGCTGCCCTGGGAGACTTCCTCATTCAGTTTTGCTAGCAGATGTGTTCAGCTGGTGTGCTGGGCTTTCCTGTAGCAGCATAGTGATGTTGCCTGGACGTGCTTCAGCTCTGGTCCTTCATGTGCTTGTTGTGTTTGCTGATTTTGGGCATAATGACATAACGCACTCACGAGGTGTCTCCAATCCTTTCCAGATGCCATGAAGTACACTATTGTGGTGTCTGCCACAGCATCCGATGCAGCACCCCTGCAGTATCTGGCTCCCTATTCAGGCTGCTCCATGGGGGAATACTTCAGAGACAACGGGAAGCACGCACTGATCATCTATGATGACTTGTCCAAACAGGTCAGGAAACTTTGGTTTTAGGCCTTGTGGTGTGGCATTGGTGTTTGTAGCTGTAAGAACACCTCAGGTTTAGAAATGTAAAATGTTAAGTGGGGTGCAGAGCTCTGAAGCTGTCTTTGCTCCACACAGGCCGTTGCCTACCGTCAGATGTCTCTGCTGCTGCGCCGCCCCCCAGGCCGTGAGGCCTACCCGGGTGATGTGTTCTACCTGCACTCTCGGCTGCTGGAGAGGGCAGCCAAAATGAACGACTCCTTCGGGGGTGGCTCTCTGACCGCCTTGCCTGTCATCGAGACTCAGGCTGGGGACGTGTCTGCTTACATTCCAACCAATGTCATCTCCATCACCGATGGACAGGTAGGGCTTCCTCACAGCCCAGCATCTCTGTGGAACTTAGTGGCTGGTCTCTGAGAAGGCCTCCAGGCTTCTGAACAAGATAATGATACAATTCTATCCTGCCAGCAAGATTACAAAGTTTGAGAGTGCTTTCCTAGCTCATGTACTGAGCCAGCACCAGGACCTGCTCTCCACAATCAGGTATGGTGGTTTACCTTGTTTTATCCCAAGGGTACTCATGTCTGGCATGCAGATAATGGTCACTGAACTGTTAGTTTATTGTATGCCAGAACATCAGGCATTCAGCTGGCTGTATCAAAACTGGGGGTTAAATCAGCCTTCCTACCATCTACTGTCCTCAGCTTCAGCTGTTAGGAAAAGCAGCTGATGCTTGAAGTAAACTTCCTTGCAATGTGTCTCTTTTAACCTGTTCCTTGATTGATTCAGTTCCCATATTCTGGACAGCTTTGAGCTGTTGGAGTGCTGTGGGTTAAGTGCTGCTGAGTGAACTGTTGGAGATTGAGTATTTCCATAGTCCTGTCCTGGCAACTGGTCCTGCCATTTTTTGTCATGAAGAAAATAATACGCTTTCTGTCTCTGGGGCCAGCTCTGTAGGTTGGGCCTTGTGGCAGTACATATGGCTGTTCTGAAAGAATTTGTGAACAAACTTCAGTTATTAAACAGGACTGGCCCTTTCAGGAGAAGGGATATTCTATGAGTGGGATGGCTTCATGCACCAAAAAAATGCGTTCATTTTTCTACTGAATTTGTTAGAAATGGGAAGGTTTGTTGTAAAGCTTCTATGTTTGTCTTGGTGTTGTCCCTGTTTTGATTTGCTGTGTCAGAATTTAACTGAACTCTTCCCACAGGACTGAAGGGAAGATCTCTGACCAGACAGAAGCAAAGTTGAAGGAAATAGTCACAAAATTCCTGTCTACTTTTGAGGCATAAACTCTTAAAACTGTTCTAACAGACCAGGCTGTTGTGATCCAGTGTTCCAGCTCCGTCAAAGACGAAAGCATGTGCGACTTGAATGTACAGATCTCGGTGAGAATAAAGGTTCCCATGTAAAAAGGCTCTGTTCTGAATGTAAAAAATACTGTGTTCTGAGTGATTGCTTTTTGTCTGTACTTCTGGCTCACTCTTGCGCCTGTAGAACCACAGATCTGAACTCCCCTGGACACAGCCCTGCTAGAGGAACTCTGGAAATCAGGCGTGTCCTTAATGGTTGAGTGGGAAAACTCCCCTTACATGAAACAGGAGAGTGACAGAGCTGAGGCACCTTCTCAGTGTTCATCTTTTGTGCCAGGCAGCTTATCCTGCACAAGGGCAGTGCAGCTGGAGGTCACAGGAATCTCTTAACTGTCCGACACTGACAGAGCATTTCTTGCAATTGCTGTCTGACCCATCCTGGTGCCTGGCCTTTGGAATACTGGTCTTTGTGGCTCGGGACTGCTGCAGGTGTAGCTGTCTCTCACCTGAGCCCAGGGCACAGGGGCAGAATTCCCCCCTGCCCTGCTGCCCACACTGGGGATCAGCCCAGGGCAGGGGGGTTCAGGCTGGGGCAGGACTGCTCTTGATGCGTGGGCTGTCCCCAGTTAACTTCCTGTACAGCCGTGTCCTGCCTCCCAGTCCAAACCTGTGGAGTTACTGGCAGCTGGGAATATTCTTATGTGGTTCAGGCTAACAAGCTGCTCTTGTTCAGGGCCTGAGTGCTTTGAGAGAGTGGGCTCTCAGTACTGGGCAAAATTAAACACACACTTGAAATCCAGACATGGCAGATACCTTTCTGGGAACAGTGCTGTGCTTCAGGAAGAGGATCCTGTGGTCTTTCACCATCTTGGTTCTTTTACCCCCCAGCCCCAGAAGAGGTGGCTGGGGGGCCTCTCAGGTGTGAGGGAATACTGCTGTGGAACATTTCCACTCTGATCTGCCCAACATCACATTCCTTCCAGGACAGCTTTTACAGCTTGTGACTCTGCCTGGTGACTAAACCCTGGTTACTACTTGATCTTCCTGTGCCATGTTTCACTGATGTGCTGCACTAGTTGGAAGGTCCTGAGCTCAAAAGTATCTTAGTCCAAAACAGAGATGTATTTTTTTCTAGTAACATATGATAAATGTTCCTGAGTGGTGCCATGGGCTGCCCTGGCCAAGGACTGGGCTGGGAAGCTGGGAAATAGTGAGTGGATCACAGGACCACAGTGGTTTGGTTTGAAAGGGACTTTAAAGATCATCTATGTCCACCTGCTGCTGTGGGCAGGGCACCTTGTTCCAGGCTGCTCCAAGCCCCATCCAGCCTGGCCTTGGACACTGCCAGGGGTGGGGAGCCACAGCTGCTCTGGGAAACCTGCGCTCTGGCCTCACCATCCTCTCTGGGAAGAGTCTCTTCCCAAAATCCCATCTATCCCTGCCCTCTCTCAGTGGGAAGACAATTCTCCCCTGCTCTGTTACTTCATGCCGATGTCCAAAGTCCCTCTCCAGCTCTTTTGGAGCCCATTTAGGTACTTGTTGGTATGGATTCATGGTGATGGTTTGTGCTCTTGTGGCTACACACAGGGTTAGTCTGCCTAAATCAGCCTCAGGTTACAACTGAGCAGACTTATTTCTGTAAGTTGAAAATGCCTTTTTTACACTACTGGAGTGTTTTAGCTGTCCCTGCGTTCAAGCAGAGACAGAATTGAGTGTGGTGGGTGTGACTGAGGCATTTCAGTACATAGTGTCCGATCTTTGCTTTCATATTTTCCAAGTGTTGCTCAGAGGTCCCTCATGGAGTGCCTTGTGTCAGGCAATGGCCCCTAATAAACTGTGTGACACAGGATGTGTGTGTGGTGAAGAAGGGTTGCGTGTGTTCCGGAGTGGCTGGGAAGGGGCTCAGCTTGGAGAAGAGGAGGCTCAGGGGGGACCTTGTGGCTCTGCACAGCTCCTGACAGGAGGGGACAGCCGGGGAGAGAGTAGGGCTCTGCTCCCAGGCGACAGGACAGGCACCAGCCTATGTCAGGATAGTTTTAGATTGGATATTACATAAGTTTCTTGACCTGGAGAGTTTTCCTGTCCTAGGACAGGCTTCACAGTGGTGAAGTTCTCATCCTTGGATTAAAACGTCCTGTGGATGTGGATGCGTGGGACATGGGTGGCCTTGGTAGTGCTGGGTGAATGGTTGGACTCGATGACCTTGGAGGGCTTTTTAAACAATTCTGTGATTCCGTGAAACCTTCCCAAATTGTTCCTGAAGCTCAGAGCCGGGCGGGCAGGGTGCTGCATGTGCCGTGGGCCCGGCTGTGCAGCCGCCGGCCGAGCTGCTCCCGCTGCGCTCCGTCCGGCCTTGGGGCAGCCGCGGCTCGGCGGCATCGGCCCTCACGGCTGGCTCTGTCCCGCGGCTGGTGCCGAGCCCCCTTCCCGCCGGTCCCACCCGCCCGCCGCAGCACGTCCCGCTCCTCCACCCGCGGGCATCCCGGGGCGGGAGCGGCTGTGCGTGGGAGGAGACTCCATGGGGCGGGCCGGGCCGGGCCGGGCAGGGAGCGGCGGAGCGCGGCGGCGGCGGCAGCAGGATGCGGGAGGCGCGGTTCAGGGACAACTTCTGGGTGAGTGGGAGCACGGCGGGACCGGGACAGCGAGGACAGAGCCAGACGGAGCCGGGGGGCGCAGCTGAGGGTGAAGGGATCACTGCTCTCTGGTTGGAGTTGGCTCCAAAGCCAACGATCGTGGTCGTGGAGTGACTTGGCTGAATGCTTTGGGTCGGTAGAACACTGGCACAGGTTGCCCAGAGCAGCTGTGGCTGCCCCTGGATCCCTGGAAGTGTCTAAGGCCAGGTTGGATGGGGCTTGGAGCAACCTGGGATAGTGGAAGGTGTCCCTGCCCATGGAATGAAATGTGCTTTAAGGTCCTTTCCAACCCAAACCATTCTGGGGTTCTATGATCCCCAGCAGGCACTGCCCACCATGCATGTCTTGAGAGTTGTGGCTTTACAGCTGGCTCCATGCAGCCAAAATAATCCCAGCAAGTGGCTGCCACCTTTCTGGAGGAAGTCGGTGCCAGGCTGAAGGGTTTGATATCATTAATTTGCCATTGGTGAACTACTTGAAGACACCATGGCGAAAAATGTTCTCTTCTGGAGCTAATCCTGGACTAGGAGCAAGTCACTAGGTGTGGTGCTGCTGCCAGCTGTTGAGGCATGGAGGAAAACCCACATTTCAGGGAAAACCACAATTTATTCTTTTCAGTCTGAATTATGCTTTTATAAAAGGAGAAGTGCAGGAAACCCACATATCTGCTGCAAAGCTTAAACTCTGTGGCTACTCTGTTCCTCTTGTGGTGGACCTTCATTCTAGGTATTGGTGACCAGGAAGTAAATTACCAAATTTGGTCTTTTGGGGCTGAAAATCTTCATCTGTGAATGGTGCTTGGGGTTTCCCAGATGTTGCCTGGGAGCATCTCCCATCTTGTAGGACTTGAGAGAAGAGCTGGCATCAGGTTTGGGGCTGCTGAGTGTTGAGGAGTTAGTGCAGAGCCTCGCCCAGCATCATTAACAAGTTAACTGGCATAGCGTTGTCAAACACGTAAATCCCACACAGGTGTCAAACCTGTTGTGGAGAACAAAGCCAACTTTGCATCTGGCAGCTGCTTCCCAGCTATTTGTTGCACACAAGTTTTCCACAGTGCTCCCTGTGCTTTGCAGACGTGCAGAAGGGAGGTTTTGAGGGTGGTGGTGGCAGCACCCCCTGGGCAGGAGGAACAACTGTGATGCCAGACAGGCTGAGTAGGCAGGGTTTGTTGTGCCTCTGTGGGATTGAAGAAGAGCTTCTCACCGCAGGGCTGACTTCGGCTGTTTCTGCCCGGTTTGTTCCTCTCCAGCAGTGGTGTGGTCCTTTTTGATGGAGGATCTTGGAGGAGCAGGCTCAGTGGTAGAAAACACCAGAACAGGAGCAGCCTCCAGCTCCCAAGACAAGGAGGATCTGGGGTGTTGCATGGGGCACTCACCCTGCTTGATCACTTCTACTGCAAACATGGCTACTTTCTGAATAATCCCTGGTTCTTGGTGAGCCCCAAACCACAGGTGCTGCCAGGGATTTTTCCTGGGTTTTGTCATTTCTGAAGCCTGTGTCCTCCAAGCCCCCTGACTGAGGTTGGATGGGAGCGTGATGGATGTGACTCAGTGGAGAGACTGAGGCCCTTCTGTGGTCATTGGGCCCATGGAAAAGGCAGGTACCACCCCAGGCAGCTGCCACACCATGTACTGGTGACTGTGCATCAGCTGTGAGGGCTGGGGAGGAGGGGTGAGTAAGGATAGGAAGGGAAAAAACCAAATCAAGATGAAGTGTGAAGGGCTGCACATCCATCTTCCACCTGTTACTGAGTGCTGTGAGTGGGCAAGCACTTCCTCCTGCAATTTTCCTCTTAGATTGCTTTGCAATCTAAGGCAAAAATAGAAGGCAAAAATAGAAGGAGAAGTCTTTGCTGAAGCAAGTGATTTCTTAGAATCATAGAAGCATTGAGCAGTTTGGGTTGGGAAAGACCTTAGAAACTGTCTAATCCACCACCCTGCTATGGTCAGGGACATTTTCCATGAGACCAGGTTGTTCTATGCCCTGTCCAGCCTGGCCTGGAATGCTTCTAGGGATGGTGTGGCTTGTGTAGGTAAGCTGTGCCAGTGTTTTAATATCCTCAGTCATAAACAATCCAAACAATTCCTTCCCTGTATTTAATGTGAATCTCCCATATTTTTGTTTAAAATCATAATTCCTTGTCCTGTCATTACATAGAACTTGGTGAGGCACAGCTTTTGTCTTCTGTAGGTTCTTCACCTGTCAGACAAGGTGAGACCAAGAGGGCCATTGCTGCACGATCATGGGCAGGTGGCAGGTGCTGCCACAAACTGTTCTTTAGTGGCTCAGCTTCAGATCTGCTGGTCCGACAAAATGTACACGTCATTTTTTCCCCCCTCAAATTAACTCATCATCCC